TTCAGAACACTATTTATTACTCGCCATGTAGCTTTCATATCACCATTGCTTTTATTTAATAAATCACTATAATATTCCTTCTTGTGTTTCCTTATAATCGCTACTAATTTATTTTTATATTTCTTATATTTCTCTTCGGCCTCTTGTGTTCTCAATTTCAAGAAACATGTATACAAATAATTCTTTTTTTTACAAGCATTTCTCAACCCTTTCATCATCCATGGTTGGTCAACAACATTTCTCTTTGTATAATTATTTTGCACACAATTCTTTTCATACAGAGCTCCTTAAATATTCATAAACTCATCATATGATCTGTTCACATCATCAACATACACGTCTTTCCAGCTTTGTTTATGTAAATCATCTTTTAATTTGTCCATTGCTTTTGTTGATGTGTTTATTGTTTTTTTCTTAATTGTAATTTCTTTTGTAATGCTTTGATCATTTTTATAAATCGTGAAAACTGGTAAATGATCACTTAAACCACTCGTTAAAATACCTCCTATCACATCCCCATTTGTTACATTTGTGAAAATATTATCGATTATTGTAGCACTATGAGTTGTAATTCTTGTTGGTTTTGATATTAACGGATAAAGATTTAAACTATACAATGAATTTGTAAATGTACTGATGTTATTTGAATCTGTTTTATTTCCCAGGTCAATATTAAAGTCTCCACAGAAAAAAATGCTTTTATTAAAACTCTTGTCCAATAGTTGTACGATTTTATCAGTGAATATTTCTATATTTGATCCTGGAGATCGATATACACAACTTATCAATATGTTTTTATCAATCTTGTTTATTATTTCTATTGTTATTATTTCCATGATATTATCAACAATTATTGACATTTCATTAATTAACTTACATTTTATTTCATTTTTAACAAATAGAGCCACTCCCCCACCTCTTTTGTTGCTTCTGTTCACATGATATAATTCATACCTTCCATGTGAACATTAGTTGTGTTTTCATCGTTGAGCCATGTCTCTGACAGTGCTATTATTGTAAAGGTTCTGTTTAGCTGTTTTAAATAATCTGTTATTTTGGATATATTTGCATTTAAACTTCTACTATTAAAGTGAATAATAGAGAAACCTCCATTCTTTATATTGATGTCATTAAACTGTTCTTCATTGTAATATTCACAGTCTTTTATTACAGGGAAAAAATTTATCAATCACATCTTCAACATTGTATATTTTAAACTCTAAGTCATCGTATGCTGCCATGTTTTAATGTATTTGTTCATTTTGTATTTTATTAATTTCTTGTTTGTGAAGTTGTGTCAATGATTTATCATCTGTCATCTCCTGAGCTCATTTTAGTTTTTCCAGATCTTTCAGGTCTTTTATTATTTTAGCCTCAGATCCTTCCTGTATTTTGATCCAAATATTTCCATTTCTTGTCCAAGTTGATGCTATTTTTTTCTTCTTTTTTTTTTAACAACCTTGCTTCACGTGCAATATTTCCATTAGTTTTTTTTAGTTAGATGTTCATTTATGTGAACATTTGTTCCCTTCAGTTTTTTTGCTTGTATTATTACTTTGTTTCTTGATTTCCTGCTAATGAACTTGATGACTATGGATGGTTTGGCTTTAT